CCCACCCCCACTCGGTCCCAGCCCCACCATCTCACAGGGAACGGGGAGGCTGCCTCCCCACCACTGTGTCCCCCCAGTGCCCCGGCCATCCCCAACACCTCGTCCCCACCATGCCATCATCATCCTCGCTCCCCCCATGCCCACCGTGTCCCTGCTGTACCCACCCCCATGTCCCCACTGTGCCATTGCTGTGCCCCACTGCTGTGCCATCCACCGTGGGACCCCATGCCCATCACCGTGCCCCCCCATGGCATCCCCACCATGCCATTGCTGCGCCCCCACCGTGCCTACCACTGTACTCCCGCACCCACCAAGGGTACTTGGGGCTTGGCCACCCAGACAAAGCCCACCCATGCCCCGGTGGCACCACGGGGTGAGGGACACAGGCTGGCAGGGATGGGGAAGGCTGACAAAGCCATGGGCAACAGCCCTGGCACCCTGGCCCAGTGCTGTAGGGCCAGCGGGCATCCCCCTGTCGTCACCTCCCCCTGTAACTTCCCCCTGCCACCTCCTAGGGTTTGGCCCCTGTGTGCAGATGGCAGCCAGGATACCAAGGTGAGGGGCTTTGGCCGCTGGCACTCTGGAGACCCTGGTGCCCCGCTGGGCTGTCCCCAGCACCGCCTCACTCTGTATGTCCCCCTGCCCATGTTCCCCCCGCCTGCATCCTCCCCGCATCCTGGAGGTGCCACCCTCACCCTGGGGCAGCCTGACACTGGGGTCCCAAGATAGGGGGGATGGGGGGGGGTCCCCAGGGACACAGGCCGCTACAACCACAACCAAACGGCACCTGGTGCCACCGTGACAAGGACGGTGTCACCAGGGGGGGTGTCAGCGGCACAGGAGGGTGGCTGGGGGGGACAGCTCCAGGGGCAGGGTGCCCTCACCCGGATGACGTAGCGGGAGGTGTTCCTCTCGTCCAGGCTGACGGTGAGGGAGAAGAGCACGGCAGCGCTGTAGACCCCCTGCGTCTTGTAGAGCAGCTCGTTGAGGTCCCCACGGCCTGGGGGGGCATCCCAGCCGCCACACTCCCCGATGACCTCCAGCATGGGCCGCGGGCCCAGCCGGTCAATCTCAGCCCGGTCCAGGCATGAGCGGAAAAACTCCTTGACCTTTCTCTCGGCTGAGGCGGGGGCTCGGCGCCGCACGGGGCGGCTCAGCAGCGCCCGCAGCTTGGCCTCATTCTGCTCGGCGATGGCCCCGATGGTGCCGTATACCAGCTTGTCCTCAGGAATGCCATGTCGCCGGAGCCAGCAGCCACAACAGGCAAAGGAGTAGAAGTCCTGGCAGGGGTCGATGGTGGCATCCATGTTGGCGCTGAGGAAGCGGGACGCCCGCAGGAAAGCCTTCTTCTCCTGGCACCCCTCCAGGCAGTAGCTGTCCCCTTCGGCCGCCAGGTACTTGAGGACCAACATGCACGTCAAGATGATGCAGAGCCCTGCGGCAAACACCAGCCCTGAGAGCAGACAGACCTCCCGGCGGCTCCAGCGCGGCAGCCCCCCGCGGCGTTTCTTGGCCCTGGTGCCCAACTGGAGGGCGAAGCCGTTGGGCAGGGTGCCACTCTGGTACTTGCTCACATACTTCACCTCCTGAAACTCGTCGTAGTGGGCTGTCAATGAGTAGGTCTTCTCCATGGCCGGGGATGGGGCTCCCCACGGGCAGCGCGGGCACAGGGGGCTCAGGGCAGGCGGTGGGCAGGCTCAGGTACCCCA